TACTACTACTACTACTACTACTACTACTACTACTACTACTACTAGTACAAATAATAATAATGATTATAAGTGTGGGGTACCTAAGGTGACTCCAACAATCTCACGAAGAGACATGGCTGCTAAAATGATCTTGTGGCCACGCATTAATTATTTTTATCCAATATCACCAGACGGGCTTCGACGAATTTATTTGTTTGCTGTAGGACTTAACCTGCAGCACTTCCTGCTAGAATATCATAATATTTCTTCTGTAACATTCATGTAATATAAAACTGATGACAATGTAAAGGTGCATCAATCACTGTGAAATTATTGAGATTAGAGGTATTTAAAAGTGGTGGCTAACAACTTTGTTCCTGCTTCTGCTTGGAAAAGTAATTAGTTTATCAGTTTAGACCAAATTAATGTCTGATTTTCCAACCTGAGATTGTTCAAAAAGCTTTCTATAACAGGTAAGATATTATTTGTTAAAAATTATTTAATAGAATCCACTTTAAAGATCAGAAATGCTGCCTAAAAGTAATAATTCTTCAGGCTTGTTTGAGGTCTTTTAAAATTTATTTTTTGAGATTTAGTTCGTTTTTAATCCAGAACTTGAGCCTCTCTATTCTTATGTTTTACAGCAGGTCCACTTTTTCTCTTTTCCCACAGCTTTTAGGCACATATTCCACAACATACCATCATGACCCAACTGGACTTGACACAAAATAAGTGAAGTTGTTGCCAAAGTAAAAAAAAAAATCATTTGAAAGACATTCAGAAAACCTGGAACACGACTGATCAAAATCACTTTTAAAGATTACAACAAAGTGACGTTTTGGAATCAGCTTCCTCTCAAACGCGACAAAACATTCTGGAAACTTCCGCACAAATACCAACATGTGAGCACCAATCACACCCGGTATGACGGGAGTTTAACAGATTTCTCTCCACACATTTTGGTCTCTGTTAGGTCTAAAAGCTGTGTGTACAGTAGGATGCTGCCAGGATCTATGGCTGATGTGGACTGATAAGGGAGTATCTACAATAAACTACCTCTGGCCATCAAAGCTATCCTACCATTGTTCCCCCACACAGAGGAAGCAAGGTTTGTTGTGTTATTGTTGGATGTGGGCGAAAAAAGGAGGGCGATGGGCTAAGGCGTGCATCTCCACACGTGCACGAGCGTGTGACGTACGATGAATCGTGTGTGTCTGTGTGTATTTATTTTTGGAGTGTTTAATGTTCAGATTTGATGAGGTGCAACGTCCAGTGGCTTCAGTGTGTCGCAGTTCAACCAGTTGCTGTCAACGTTGTTGTTGTGTGCCGTTGTGTGTTGCAGCCGGGGGAAAGCCATCAGCAAGTGTACCTGAGTCAGAACGGAAGAGGAGCTTTAGGCTCAGCGGAACATGGAGCTGAGCAGGAAAACACCTGGGAGCTGAGGGAGAACAAACACTTCCAGAGGAAGGAAGAGGAAGAAGAGGCAGGATGAGAGAGAGAGAGAGAGAGAGAGAGAGAGAGAGAGAGAGAGNGAGAGAGAGAGAGAGAGAGAGAGAGAGAGAGAGAGAGAGAGAGTCTTACAACATTGCTGTTGTGTAGAACCTGAGTAAAAGTTGTTTGTTTTAGACAACAAAAGACTTCCTCATATAGTTTTAAACTCAATTCAGGGTCTGACCAGAAATTATTGAATAAATAGACAACTTTATGAAATCATAAATGGTATGTACAATCTCGTGGAACTATGAGATTTTACAGAGGATTACACTACACACGACCAATTTGAAGAGGGTCCTTCAATCAGGCTTGAGTCGAACTTGAGTATAAAACTTGAGTCGCGTAATTATGTCAGCTTGAAACTGATGTGCGTACAAACTCTTGTAGCTGCTCCGTTGATTTCAATGGAGCTACGCTGGTTTAGCTATGTTTAAACTGAAATAAATTTGGGAAAACAGCATCAAACTCCACCGGGAGGACCACAAAACATTGTGCTGCAGTACTCGTAACAGCAACTCAGGATACAGCCATCATGCCCACATGGAACAAGCATTTTGTTTTCACTATTCCCAAGTTAAGATATTGTCTAACAGCTGGGTTGGAATGATGGGACGAGCTGAATTTGACCGGAAAAGAATCATAGGCTTAACATCTGCGCCAAACATTTAATCGGAGGTAAAAGACCAACACTGGATCACCTGGATCCTATCCCTGCACGTTCTGTTGATAAACAGGTACAGTAAACCTTATTGTTTTATCTGTAGCCTACAGCTAGCTTTACTTGTAACATATATGCTAGTCTCACTCATAAACAGTGCTCTATTCTCGGGCTCTACTGTAGTCTGTCCAGCATATAGTGATAATATTTTACTTAACACAAATTCTAAGCATCCACACAACCCTGAAAAGGAAGAAGCGTGTACAGAAAATGGATGGATGGAAATTCTAAACATCACCATTAAGTTTCTTTAAATGATGCAGAACCAATGGCCATTCAGTGATAAAAATACACACAAAGACGCACACATAATAGATGTGTCAAGCTAAGCTAAGACACAGTAAAAACACCAACCTTTAACAAATCCAGGAAATAAAAAAATGCCTAATTACATATGGAATTCAGTCCATTCCTGTCCAAATCACAGAGATTCCTATTCACACTGGATTAGTGAAATCACAGGACCTTGGAGGTCAGTAAAATATAGTAGGTAATTTGCAGGGGAATTTTTACTTTACAAATTACTGACGTGCCCGATACGCATGGGATTAATAACACAGACAATCTCTGCAATTATTACAAATAGCATGGGGTCCCTAACTAATCCCATCAGAATAGGGCTTTAGTCTGAAGGGTCCAGCATAGTCGATTGCTGGCCCAAAAAAAAAAAAAAAAACTCCCATCACCCTGACAAGGAAAACTTTGAGTGCAATGATTGGAGCCACAAAATGCTGATGGGACTCCATGACCATGGTCTGTGTGATGTCTGTGGCATTGAATTAGAGACCTCTTTGCTCTACTTAGGCCACAGCCTGGCTCTGAGTGGTCAAAGGAAAAGAATTCTTGGGGACCCCTTCATGGATCTTGAGAAGCTCAGAACACTGAATGTTTCTAACTTTGTGTCCTTCATCCGAGGAAAGCGAATGTTTGATTAAAGCTCAGCTTCTCTTTGGGAAAGCAATGAACACACACGGCTCATTTGGGTTCTTCACCAATCCCCACTTACCATGACCATAACCATAACCGTGGTCAATCGGCAGTTGAAGCACAGTCAAGCTTACAGACTTCAAACCAATCACACAAGGCTGATGGGGATAGAAAGTCCAGCCAAGGCCTTGTGCCAAGAAGGGGCGGACGACACAAGGCTGAGAACAGGATGAAGCCATTTTCATCACACGAGGGCYGAGGTCATCAGATCAGAATCTTTTAAGGGTCCCCTTCACTCACTTTAAGTGTAGAGGTGATCGCTCCTTCCAGGCCATCGCTCCAAGGCTCTGGAATGATCTTCCGCTCTCAATACGTGCGTGCTCTTGATTCTGTGGTTGCCTTTAGAAGCAAACGTAAAACTTTCCTTTTTTTATAAAGCCTTTTAACAATTTCAGTGTGTTGTCTAATTCTTAGCTATTTATGATGTTGTTGATGTTTTTACTGTTTCATTTTTCCACATAATTTTTGCACCTTTGTAAAGCACTTTGTGTCCCTCTATGTCTGTGAAAGGTGCTATATAAATAAACTTTTACTTAATTTTTACTTACTTACAACTACATCAATGAGATGTTGCAGGTTTGGATGGACCATGTAGAGGGTTTAAAGCCCTTCTCAATATTATCTGAATTAAACAGGATTGAAACAGAATGCAGCTCAGGTACACAAATGTCCCAAGTGTATGAATACTGCTAGAGTATAAAATGCTGCAGAATCTAAAATTTTCAATAAAAATCCTACTTTTCAGGGGTTTCTTGTGCCCCGTTCATGGACACAGTTCTTGACCGTTTCCCCCTTATTTCTTGGCAGCGTGATATGTAAATCTTGTGAAAAAAGAATGACAAAAATTTGATGTTGACCAGGTGACTCCTCAGTGCAGTATGTTCCAGCAGCAACTGACTGTGTTTTATCCTCTTAAAATCGTCTGGATTAACTTGAGGGACAATCAGAATGTTCCAGTTGCATTAAAGCCATGCTCCCTCAGCAACTCAACAGTACTGACAGCATTCCAAGTGCATTTGAGATGGATTGTTTTTTAAAGGGACATATCATGCAAAATCCACTTTTTTAGCTGTTAAATGCATTTTGTTGTGTACTTGGAGTCTTTAAGAATGCCGAAAAGTAGTCTCTCCTGGTGCTCCTGATACCTTTATATTCTTTTTGTCTCATACTTTTCAACTTGTTCAGTTTCCTGTATTTTCTGTGGTGTTTTCTGAACTATTACATCAAACTATTTGTAACGGACCTGACAAATAATGTCTGGACTCCGATTTAAAGTGATGAGTTGATCACACACCTAAAAAAAAAATGGGTGAAAGAGGGGCTTGTGGAGTTACAATAAGGAGGAATTCAGACCAAAGCATTGCAGTTCCACTTTATATAGACCCCACTGAATGATTTAAATGTGAAAATGGACTGAAAAGCGTGATGTGTCTACTTCAATATCCAAATCGATTTTGATGACAATCAGGACTTTCTGCCAGGATTTGAAGTGACCTGAGGTTTAGAATGCAGTTGTGATCCTGTAAGTCATTCAATATTTCTTCACTTTGAAGGCACCTGGAAAGTTTTGAACATGTGCAAAACATTCCAGTCTGCCACAAGAATGAGCCTAAATGTTTGGACTGCTCTCAAATGCAGACAGAATCAATAAAATTCACTTTGAAGAAACAATTTTATACAAAGAATTGTCATTATAACAGCATTCCAGCTCATTCCACCTGTAGTGTGGCGAGGGGTTTAGAACTGATTTATTATGTCTTATTCTGCTTAATTCCTGTTAACTTTTAAGAAGTGTAACTGGGGCTTAAACTGTGACATGCTAGGCCTTTGATCCTTAACACAGAGATGCACTTCAGAATGGCTGAACAATTCATTTAGATGTATTATTTCAGTAAGACCGTGAATGGTTCTTCCCGAGGAACAGGGCTCAGCATACATAGACCTCAGACACCGCATCCTTGATATGGTTCTGCAGCTGGACCGGACCACTCCACACTTTCTTCCCACTGCATCTCTGCAGAGGACATTGTTCCCAGACACAATTTTCATTGTATTTTGGAGTAGGAGGCGATGGAAATCAACGCAGCTGCAGACGCCAAGCAAGAAGTTTCGTCCTCTGCGACCCTCATTGCCAGCTGAGAATCAGCTGCAGGTTTTTTCTTGCGTGCCAGCCTCCCTCCCTGCCTCACCCCCCCTTCCCTCCTCCCACTCTAGTCTTCTGGGAGGTAAAGCCTGGATTTCCCCGTTTCCACTCTCTCTGGCTCTTTAACAACTTAAAGCCTCGCTCTCACCCTCTCATTTCACACCACTTCTCTCATTTCCTCTCCTCCCCCCGTTAAACCATTAGGCCCCTTTTAACTTCCTCCTTCCCCTACCTACCTGTACCTGTCCCTAGAACAGTAGCCAAGTGTATGATTTTCAGTTTTTACTGCACGCTGCATCACATCTGAAAAAACAAAATAAATTGAATTAAAGGCCAAGCAATCTTTTAAAGTGGAAAGTCTAAATGAAATCCATCCACTGGTTCAGGAGATATTTTGTTAACAAACAGGGCTTAATCCATCTTTTTACCAGAACATATTTTGGGAATCAGTCTAAGGTCACACCAAAGTTTGGCTAAATATCTCTAAAACCGACTCAGTTACTGCCATTTTTGTGTATTTTCAGGTCACTTCAATGTGACAACCATTTTGAAAGTAAACCACTTCAAAAGTTTATCAGCTGTGGAAGCACATTGAACAGCAAGTTTTGTAGAAATTTGTGCATTGGTTTGTGAGATATTTTGCTAACAGATACAAGCACATGCACWGAGAGATAAATGTAGCAGTGTGCAGTAATGAAAATTTCATCACAAATGCTCGAATGGAACTTATTTTTTTTTAAAGCTCCAGTAAGATCAAGCTGTAGGAAATGCCTGTATGCAGATTGGCTTTTGCTGAGTCATCGTTTTGCTCTGCTGAGGTGTGGTCTGAACCTGCCTGATTGTTCTCTTTGATTACAGGGTACTCGCTTCGAGTCTGAGCGTTGTAAAACACCTGAACCTGATGGTCTTTAAGGCACATGCGTGTGTTTGTGTACTATAAGCACACACACACACACACACACACACACACACACTTTGTCTCTCTATCTTTGTGGGGACTTTCCATTGACTTCCATTCATTTTTTTTTTTTTTTTGAAAATTTACAGCCTAACCCTGACCACAAACCCTAAGGCTAACCTCACAGGTAACCTACCTGACCCTAAAACTAACCC